TTAATAATTAATATTTTGTAATTTAAATTGTAATATCATATATATTTTTTTAAATTGTTTTGCAAAATGCATAATGCTGTCGTAGTATGGTGGTGAGTATTCTTGCCTGTCACTTGGGCGACCCGATTTTTGATCCCGGCAGCGGAAGGGAGACCCTAAATTTTTCTGCCATGTTGGATGCAAGCAGACTTTAATGTTTCATATTCTTAAGGTCAATTTACAGCAAAGGAACTACAATAGAAAACATTTGGAATTTTATTTGCTAAGTTTTTGTTCTAGCACAATGTGAACATTATGATGAACAAAAAATGGGGTTCTTCGGTTTAGTGGTTAGCATTCTGGACTTTGAATCCAGTGACCTGGGTTCGACTCCAGGTAGGAGCTGCTGTCAAATTCAGAAAACCAATAAATTTTTGGCAATGGTGCTGACCCCCTTATTGGAACAGATCTTTGTTAAAAAATAAAATAAAATAAAAAAAAAAAACAGCTGATTATTCTAACAGTTACCAGGTAAACCTGGTACACAACAGTAAACACAATAATATACTGTGAAAGGTATTCAAAAAGATCGACACCTCAGAAGCAATACACAAACACTAGTATCAGACAAGTGAAGCCCCCACAAACCAAACAAACCTTACAGCACTCGCACCAAAAACATGCTTCCCATATTGGCATTGCCGTCAATTCTAATAACAAACAGCAAAAAAACCACAAAACACGAGAGAGTTACAAATTCTACACATACACACAATTCCTTCATCCACTATGAGCATTTTTCATCGTCCTTGAAGACTTGTTTTGGATCCTTCCCTTCTGGAATAATTTCTGAGCTCTCTTCCGCGCTTGACGTCACATCAGTGGATTCAGCTGCCTGGGGTCTCTTGAACAGTTCATTGTTTTCTAATTCAGCTAGTTTTTCTTTTGATTCTCCCTTGAGCAACTCTAGCACCTCAAGCATGGCAGGCCTTTTCTCAGGCTGGTTGTCAGCACAAATAAGGGCAACATAAATAACCCTTTTTAGCTCTTCCTCAACATACTTGCCATTCAACTTTGGATCTACCAGTTCACTGAATTTCTTCTCACAAGCAAGTGGCAAAGCCCATTCTGCAATTGATCGTTTGTGTGTTGCACTCAGTTTCTCTATAGGCCTCTTGCCTGTGGCAATCTCTAGCAAGAGAATGCCAAAACTGTATACATCACAGCACTCATTTACCTTCCCTAACATGGCGTACTCAGGGGCAAGGTAGCCAAGGGTACCCTTAACTCGAGTAGTTACATGTGTTACGCCATCAGGGATTAGCTTGGCAAACCCAAAGTCAGCAACCCGAGCCTGGAAATCAGAATCTAGCAACACATTGCTGGCTTTGATGTCTCTATGAATTATATGTGGGGTTGCTTGGTGGTGAAGATAGCTGAATCAAGCAAACAAAGAGGTTCAGCTCCTTTATGTATTTGGAAGAGGGTACAATAGGGAAGAAAATTGAGTTTAATACTTACGCAATTCCCTCTGCAGAGCCTATAGCTATATCTATCCTCCTTTTCCAATCAAGATGGCATTCTGCTGAGTGCTGTCCATGAAGATGTGACTGCAGGCTCAAATTTGGCATATAGTCATATACAATCAGACGCTCTTGTCCTTCAGCACAGTAGCCACGTAAGCTCAACAAATTCTTGTGCCGAACTCGTCCCAATACCTGAACCTCAACGTCAAATTCAACTTCTGCTTTGTCACTCCAAACCTTCAATCTCTTCACTGCAATCTGCAGATACACTTATTTATTTATGGCTTCCAGATGAGAATGGGAAAGAAAAAAGTGTAGCAGAAAAATTGCGAGAAGGTCATGCAACTTCAACATAAATTAGATATAGAAATGCCATCTATCAGAAGACTAAGTCCATTACCACAAGTATCAGCCAAGGCTCAAGTGATATCCAAGAAAACCTTCTGGATACATAAAAGAAAAGGTACACTTCTATGCTCTAATTATTTTTCTCAACTCTTTCACTGTAGAATACGAACCATAAAGATCTTTCTATTACCCAAGAAGAATAAGATGCCTGATATTATTTGTGTGAGCTGAGCAATATAGAAACACACAGAAATCATGAAATGATAGCTTTATGGATATATGCCACAAAGGGAAAGAAAAGTCACCTAGTGAACATCACAATTAAACCTTCCACCAAATTAGGTTAAAAGATGGCACATTGATATTTGATACAAACAAACGAAGATTAGTTGATCATGACCTGTGGTAGCACTGGTACATACCATACATACTGCCAAAGAGGACCTGAGCTTCAGAGAGTGTCTTAGAGAGCCTTATGATTGAAAATGTTATGATGTGCACAAAATCTTTTTGCCTCATTTTCTGAGCTTTTAGCAACAGCATTCTAGCTCAATAAAAAAAAAATTGCAAAATTTTATCTATTTTATCCAACCATCAGAAAATTAGAGAATTAGTAATAAAATTAAAGCATATGTGCAGCAAGCACTTAGTTGGAAAAGGCATGCTCTTGCCAAAACAGTTGAACAATTTTCTCAAGGAGACAAGCTCAAACTATCTAATGATAAGTTTTTCCAAGTCATTGAGAAATATTTCCATAATAAAACTAAGGATGAAGCTTACAAATTTTGATATTTCCTGTAAGGTAGATATGAACTGAAATTGTGAAGTTCTTATTCAAAGCACAAACTTCACTGATTAATAAGTGGATCCAACTATATATGCTAGTTATATAACCCAAGTCTCAACTCTTGAATTCTTGACTCATTTTTGTACACAGTAACATAAAACAAAGATAGAAAGCATGCAAATGGGTGCACATGCATGCACAAACAGGCATTAAAAATCACAAATCAAAGGAAAAAAAAAAACTCATGACCCAATATATCAATAATATAAGGACATTTTGTAATTAGACCACAAAATCTAAATATCAAATACTAGAAGTTCAAAACATGTACATGCAATATTACGACATCCTAACTAGTAAGAACAGTTAATTTCCTCGAAAACTAAAAGGATCAGCAAATATTCCAAGCATCTTCCTCATGAGTCCTTTGTGCGAGTGAAATGTTAATCATCATTCAAGATTAGTTGAACATAACATATAATTATTCAGTACTCATATCATAGTGATAAAGAGGAGCTAGGAATATCCTTAGCTCTGCTTGATAATTTAGTTATGTACCATGTCATACTTTATCCAAAAACCAAGATGGAGTTAACCCTTTACGATCAACTTGCATAATCATCTCGCAGAAATCCCATTTACAAATGGCCATCAAGAAAACATACTAAGAGAACCAGGAGTTCACTGGAACATAAGATAAATGGATCTTAAATACATTGCCAACTACCCATCATAGCATGGAGACTTGCGTTTATATCTATCTCACACATATTCAGAAAGGTATGAAAACCACTAAAAATGAAAGTAACAGGACAATCAGTGACAAAATTAAAAATATATGCAACATAATATTAACCAAAATACAGACAAAATTCAAGACCTACCCCTAATTACATACATTATCTCCAACCTGACTTTATAACTTTGACAGACTGAATCACAAACAGATACAGAGCTCTTGGCAATGAAATCTTATTTGAATTTCTAGACAGCATCTCATAAAATTATAAAGCACACATGATGCTCTGCTCTTAAGGAAGCATTTACATCCTAAATGCAACCTTCCATATAAATCGTCACTTTAAAATGAAACATCATGGAATGAGTCTAACCACTCCTACTAAAATGAAACTCTTGAACCATTACTTCCATAGATTGCAGGACAAGATCAGAAATTTAAATGATGAAGAAAAAACATATGATGGAACAAAATGAAACCCAGAAATCTTCATAATTAATTTTGAAAATATAAGGAAAGCATAAAGTCAAATTTAAGCAGATTCAAAATTCCATACTTGAGATCCATCCCATAGCTGACCCCAATAAACACTTCCAAATGCCCCTTCTCCAAGCTTGTTATCATAATTGAAATTATTCGTCGCTGAGTGCAATTCCTTCAATGAAAAAGTCCTCCAAGTTTGCTGCTTTTTCCCTCGCTCACTCCTACATAATTACAACTCTATGAATCAAATACAAACACCGAAACAAGAAAAGAAAAAGGAAAGAAAAGAATCTCGCCTTCTGAAAATTAGCATATGGTTTAATTTCAAACTCCGAAATGCGGGAATCCTAATCTCAGATGAAACTGTTAAAACATAAAACCCCCGAAAACCCATCTGGCTTACAAACCCCTCCATTTCTCCACCCAAAACAAGCACGCATCATTCCAAACCATCAAAACCAAAACACCCTTTAGAGTTTAGAGCCCAGAAACACCTCGAAGAGTCGATATAAACAGAAAGCAATAAGCAATGATTAACTTACCGATCCGAGCCCTTCCCGCAACAAATCAAAGAGTAGAATGCCATTTCCGACCTCACCAACCAAAACCCAACTGCTCTTTTTCGCCCTCACTGAAACCAATTGATTCCCCTCTCCCCTTTCCTCTTCTGCACTAGCTCTTTCACTGCTTCTCTGCCTTCAGTTTCTTTCAGAAGGCACTTGGTTATGAGATGTGGCAGTAATTTGAGCGAAAAAAACTCAACTTTGGAGATTTTCTTCCGGGGCTCTGCTTTTATGTCGATAGAAAGAGAGAATAAATGTCACAGCCCCATGGAAAGAAGAAGAGTGAGAGCAAAGTCTTCTTCCCCTCGGACCGAAATTTTTTTTTCTTTAAAAAAAAAAAACCTAATTGTATATTAGCAGTAGTTGTTATTTTCCTTTTCCTGCTGTGTCTTGTTATTGCGGCTAGTCGGTTAACACCTGTGTCTTTTCTTTTCTTTTTTTTTTTTGGGATAGCAACGTCTGTCCTATTTACTGACCAGTGTGATCTATGATGTATGTACGAGTATTTTATACGCCATCTCTATTTGTACGTTACTTCCCTCCATCCAAATTTGATCTTTGTTGTTTCTTTTGTCTCATAATAATATATATTTTTTTATTTAAAATTTATTTTAAAATAATAATAATTTTTTGATTTTTGATTTTTTAAATTAAAGATTTGAGATTATTTATATATTTATTTATATTATTTT